AGCCTCGAAACGCTCAAAAATGATCCTTGTTGTCCTCGCTCTGTGCCTCGTCCTCGGCATCGGCCAAGAAGCTTCTTTAGAAAAGATATCTGATGGCATCGATATCTCACGACCCATCGATATCAGCGAAGATTCTGACTTGGAGAGCATGCCTTTGCGACAAGGCGAGAGGACTGTGGAGAGAGACCATGGCGACGTGCTCAGAGAGAGGGAAATGGAAAAAGCAATAGCAAAGGAGAGGGAGATGGAACGCGACAGCGAGAGACAAAAGGAGAGGGAACTTGTCGCTGAAAGAGAGAGAGCGAGAGTACGAGAAAGAGAGAGAGAAGCGGCCAATGAGAGGGAAAGAGGAGCAGGACGGGACAGAGAAAGAGGACGGCAGTCGGACTACGAGCGAGACAGAGAACTCGAAGCGAAGAGGGAGCGAGATCGGGAAGAGAGGCGAGGCACACCCACCACGCTTGAAAGGAGACGAGGAGAAGTTGACCCCCATAGACCAACTAATCAATTCACCTCAGCCAGTGAAGTAGAAAGGCAAAGAGAACGAGACCGACAGGAAGAGATCGAACGAGAGATCAGAAAAGCCGAACAGAAGAAAGAGGCCCTACGAAATAAGTCTTTGGTCAGTGCTTCGTATGACGTCCGGCCGTCCAGTAGGGTAGTCGACAACCGGAGGAACGACAATGACAGAATAAGGCAAGCTGAGCGCGAGAGAGCAATCCAGAGGGAGCGAGAGCGAAACGAAAAGTCGCATCGAAGGCATGAAGGACATGGTCAGAGAGATAGAGACCGAGACCAGCGTCGAGATGGAGGCTCTGCAAGAGACCATGATCATAGGCACGACGGGCATCGGTTTAGCCATGAGAAACCTCCCATTCTGATCATCGAGGAAGTGCCTAATGACTCAACTAGCGGAGAGCACACGAACAGACACCCAGTGTGGAGGGGGAGACCGAATACCAACGATAGGTATAGAGGCCCCGGCGGCGCTCAGAGACCGATTCAGGACCCACGAGCACCTGACAGACATCCTGTTCTTCCGCGACCCAGCATCACAAACTTGGACCGTCGTCCTGGCCGCCCCGACTATCCGTCGAAATATGATGAAGTGCACTTAGACATTATCCATGAGCATTTCCCTCATCATGGCCATGATGACGGCGTTGTAAAGCCCATTCCCATTCCACCTCCGCCACCCCCACCCGTGCCGATTCCTGTCCCCGTCCCGGTCCCGGCCCCAGATCCCGGTCTGATCCTGCAGCAGCAGCTGGGTCAGGCCTTACTCACGAAACATGCCATCGAGGCCGGAGTGTTAACGAAGGCCGCAACGTTGGGGGTCTTAGGAGCCATTAAAGCCGGAGCCGCGGCTCACCTGGGAGCACTGGGAGCCGGTGCCGCCGTCAGTAATATCAAGCACGCTGTCAAGGACAAACTGAAGACGCACCTGAAGCACAAAGTGGCGCAGACAATTGCCGGTGGAGTGGCAGTTCCAGCTGGTCTTCATGCTCTGAAGGTGCACACTCAGCTCAAAGGAGCACAGCATCAGCTGCGTAAAGCCCGTGAGGCCATCTTACTCAAGCTACTTTTGCTCAGGTAAGTAGTATATCTTACGTTAGACCAGCTTCTCGAACTTTTCAGTTCGTGGCCATCCATAATATCACCCTGGTAGTTTCAAAATTTCATTTTTATGAAAATTACGTCATATTATATACTGTATATTTTGAAAGAAAGCAAGAATATTACTATAAAATCAAAATAAGATTTTTTATGTTGCTCTAACACTTGCCCATGCATACACATACTGTGTGTGTATGAATAAATGTATAAGTGCGTGAAACTGTATAACACTAAGTGACCGTCATTAGACAGGTCATGCGTAATTTCACCCTTCGTGTAAACAGGCCTTTACAGAAACTTTACGGACAGTCGTGGATTGCTACGAGGCCAAAGGGGCCAAAAAGACGAGTACATATCTTTTTAGACTTCTCAATATTTAATTCACTTACATTTTGACTCTACCTAGTATTCCCCTTTATACCCCAACTATGTTTAACTCCCTGGCCTTGTTATTTGTTGAATCCATTAAGGAGTCAACGAACATCTCTTATATTGTTACTTCCAAGGGTGAAAAAATGTATAGCGTAAGTGAAGTGTAAAATAACATAGATTTATAATTTAAGAAAATATAATCATTATGCATTAGAAAACCTCTGTTTCCAGGCCATACTTTAAGCATGTCGGTCCCACCTACATTATACCTCCCGAATTGCCGGACATACCTATTGGAGTCCATTTGACACCGGTTGAAGTAGAGCAGCTGCCAAGGATATACATTGACGTACGTTCTAAGCTCCAGTTGATTCCCGTAGCGTCTTTGCAGTGAGAAATTTGAATATCTGATTACCATAATGGGGATGATAATAATGATAAATATTTGATTTCGAAATTAACGTTGGCGTAGTTATCTTGATTTTATCCACTGTAATGTAGTGTCATGCTA